GAGGCCCCACTTCCTCTCGTGGTATCCCTGCTCCTCTCTCTGATGCCACCTCCTCTGTTCCTGTGGCTTCTGCTCTCCCCTAACCTCAGCTTCCTCAACCAGAGCTTCTGCCTGCTCTGACTCTACCTCTCAGCCTCCTTTCAGCCTTAACGACCACCCCAGCTGGTATATTCCTCCCATAGTTGGTGGTTGCTTGGTAGTTCTTTCTACATTTGATCGGCCCAGCCCCTAGGCTTCTGTGAGCCTGTATCTTGGCTATCCTTGGGTCACTTGCCATCCCTGAAGATCCAGTGAACTGTGGCCAGGAGAGTGGATCACAAGACCACCTAAAGGGCCATGGGCAGGTAGGCACCCAAAACAACTCCAGTGTGGGGGGCTACTGATTATAAAGTCAACTAAAGGTCATGGAAAAGAGAAATCACGCTGAGCATGATTTCTCTCGCAGGAATGAGTCCTATGGCCAACTGTAGCCACAATCATTTGTTTCCTTTTCCTGTGAAGGGCTTACCCATCCCTACCTAGCTAACATCAGACTTGTGCATGTGAGGCTTTTGTCAATGAAAGTTTCAAAGGGATCTATGCCATTTCTAGGCAAAAGTTTTGATGATTGTACTGTGGTTCACCATGCTCTCTTTCCCCTTTGCATTGGGAACAACACGGCCCCAAACAGGGACTGTCCCGTTCAGGTAGGTCCCAGAATGACAACAACTTGGAGTGGAGCCAGGGAGCCAGAGTGAATGACTATATAATGTAAATAAGAAGTCAGCCTTTATTCTGTTAAGCTTGAGCCTTTGGAGCCATTTGTTATGGCAGCATAGCCTAGCCTGTTCTGACGGATAGGAAGATCACGTTGTGTTCAAATAAATGGGAGAGAGAGACTGGAAGTAAAGAGTGATGAGAACTAGCTCCCCGCTGAGAAAGGAGCCTGATGTGGGACTCGATCCCAGAACCCTGAGACCAGGACCAGAGCCAAAGGCAGATGCTTAGCTGACTGAGCCACCCAGGCAACCCCCTTGGTTAATTCTTTTTAATAAATAAATTTATCCCTTATTTACTAGTTTATCATAGTTGGGAGTTGGAACCATTTTGAGAGAAGGATGTCCTTTTCAAAATGGAACTTAAGGTAGGGTGGACATCTAGTCAGTGATTTCTAGCAGGCACTTGGGAAGGGGGTCAGGGCTAGAGATAGACACTTGAGAGTCATCAGCAGAGGCGAGAGAGTTGGGTCAGTGAGTTTTTGGAAACTTGTCTTTTGATCTGTAAACGTAGCAGCTTGTGAGAAATGGAACACCATGTTAAAGAGACAAAGCGATACCAGACAGAGGAAAGAGGAGGGACTAAAATGAAGACCTTCCAACAGCATCATTGCCCTGCCTTGGTTTTGAAGAAAGCACATATTCACATTTTCTCTTGCTTGGAGAGGTCACCCAAGAATGGACCACTCTCTGACTCTCCTGTAGAATCTCTCTTCTACCAGAATGGTCTTCCCAGTACCCTAAGATTCCGGAAAAGTACATCTGGAAGGTCCCATGGTGGGATTCTCATGATGGTAACAGCATGAGCATTCTTGCGTCTGATCGTCCTTGAGGCAGTGGCTGCTACGTGAGAAACACAATTGCACCCGTTGTTCCTGTTGGCGGAAACTGGCTTCTGGCCCCAACTTCTTCATTTTCTCCTACTTCCTGTCTCTTTAAGAGACTTAAGGAACAGCTGGAGAGATGAGCTTGTTGGCTCACAAACAATAGTTCTGAAAGTGCCTCCAGCCCTCCCCCAGCTACACCGAATGAACTTGGCATTATTAAGTCCGGTGAGCCACCATGGCATTACAGAGCGAGCTCTCGCTCCCGCCCGCCCGCTCGCTCCCGCCCCCGCCCGCCCGCTCGCTCCCGCCCGCCCGCTCGCTCCCGCCTGCCCGCTCCCTCTCGCTCCCTCTAACTGACCTGGGAGAGGCGGTCAGGCCCACCTCTCTGGCTTGTCTGCTCTAGATGCCTCCTGAAATGAAGGTGCAGCTGTATTCTTGTTGTATCTTTAAGAAGCTAGGAAGTTTCCCAGAAGCTCTGAATCTACACTTCAAGGGCAAAAAAAAAAAGACATTAACCTAGTTTAGCTATATTTTAGGAAACAAATTCTGGGCACAGGAAAGCCCGCTGTGCTTCCAGCTATAGGTTTTCTGGATAGAAAACAAGACCGAGCTCACTTCTGAGCATATAGGGTAGAGACTGTTGCCTAAGGCCCCTACAGTTTTGGACCCTCCAATAAGAAAGTCTGTCGGAAGGAGCACTTGTGACAATATCCTGTGGCATGTATGCATTTGTGGGATGCTTTTTGCTCAGGCAACTTTCTTTTAGTTTTTTTTTTTTATTTATTGAGAGAGAGAGAGAATGGTAGAGAGAGAGCATGAGACGGAGGAAGGTCAGAGGGAGAAGCAGGCTCCCCGCCGAGCCGGGAGCCTGATGCAGGACTCAGTCCCGGGACTCCAGGATCATGACCTGAGCTGAAGGCCATCGCTTAACCAACTGAGCCACCCAGGCACCCACTCAGGCACCTTTCAAAGAGCTTCTCTTGGATGTGTCTGCTGAGCAGACAGGGCTGGGCTGGTCCGCAGTGGGAGTGACTAGGGGTGGGGAGGACGAGCCCTCTAAAAACACCACACAGAAACTCCATCCCAACCCCTTCCCCAAGAGGGGAAGCCAGAATCACAGGAAATCACCTTTCACTTAAGGGAGAACCCTTAAGTCGCAGAATAGCCACCAAAGAGTAACTCTGGTTCTAAAGCTTCGTAAGGTTTATACATTATGCATTTTATGTAGTTAGCACTTGCACGTGCCACAGGCTCACAACTTCTATAAAGGGAGCTGGGCATTCTAGCAACCCAGCGACTGCGATTCTTTCACTTAGGCCTAGAAAGACACTTAATCCTGCGCTAATGAGGCTCTTGCCCCAGGCCTCCAGGGAAGCTTCCTTTTTTTTCTCTGATTTGCCACAGTTTCATCTCTTAAAATAGTGTAGGACAGCGTCTTGTTGACTGGTAAACTGGGATCTGCCTTCATATCTCTCTCTGGTTCTCTCTCCTCTCTCTTTCCCAGGGGGGGAAAACAGCCAAGAAAAAACCCCAGTGTTTTTAATCTACTCCATATAACAAATTACTCTTCAACCTAGCAGTTTAAAGCAATAGACCTTGATCATCTCACAAGTTCTGTGAATTAGGAATCCAGCGTGGCTCGGACGGTGTTTTCGATTCATGGCCTCTCGTGAGGTTGCAGTTAAGCTGTTGGCCAGGCTGCAGCCCCCTGAAAGCTCAGCTGGGGAAGGGTCTGCTTGGGAACTCAGGCATGTGGTTGTCAGCAGGCCTGAGCTCCTCACTGGTTGTTGGCCAGAGACTTCAGTCCCCCACCATGGGAGCCTGTCCTAGCCTGCCTGCCTGTGGCCGTTGGCTTCCCCCAGAGTAGGTGATCTCAGAGAAAGAGGGGAAGAGAGAGAGAGCCCAAGGCAAAAGCCACAGTTTTTATAACCTATTCTCAGGAGTGACATCCATCCCGTCTGCTATATTCCGTTGGTCATACAGACTACACTGTGGGAGAAGGGCTACTTGAGGGCATGACTGCCATCTCGGAGGCTGGTCACCACACGACGTTTGGGCAAGAGACAAGTAGGGCAGAGGGTCATGTACTGAAAAGGTTTGTGGGTATGAACTGGCTAATGAGCGACTCTTCTATTAACCATTTGAGTGTCCTTCAAAAGCCAGTATGTCTGCTTCTCCTCTCTGGGCCTTTCTTTCCTGTAAAGTCAGGTGCTCAAACTAGCATGATCTTTAAGTGCACCATGGTCTGTGATTCTAGTGACTTGAGGTTGGTGAGGGGAAGAGTGAGGAAGGGAAGGAGTGGACAGAGAAAAGAACTTGGGTCTCATGAAGCAGCCCCAACACCTGAGCTCTGAGCTGGCTTCAGGCCCCAGGCCCACGGGGGTCCCACAGTTCCACAATCAGGATGGATGCCCAGGTCCTGTCATTTGCTGAGTGAGGAAATGGGAAGCTCTAATTCAATAGCTGATGCCCTGTTGTGCTGAGGCTTTCAGACCTATTTCTGTGCAGGAACATAACAGATTACGGAGGGTACTCTGAGCCTGGGGAGAGGGTTCCCCTGGTTTTTAGAGCTGGTACTGGCTTGTGTGTACTTTGATGAAATTTCCTTATTGTCCAAAGGCTTCTCGGAGTGTGTTCAGGGAAGTGGATTTGGGGACCATCACTGCTTCCCCCCCATCACTGCTTATTTCACAACCTGCCCAGCCATTCCAGACCCTTCTACACATGGATGATGGACCCACTGGACTTCGGGGAGCATGTCACTCAGTGGAAACCTGGGAACCTTGATGTGAAAGCATCTTTGAAAGTCTCTGATGGGGCTGGTCCCATTTGGGGGGAGCTGCCAGCTGAAGGAGCAGGTCCAGGCTTGGCTCGGTCAACTTGCCTTCCTTTTTTTGGGTTTAGCACAGGGAAATAGTAGCTCCTCAAAATCAGAGATGCATGGACTTATACAGTTTTTGAGCCGAAGAACTCTCAGAGATGAGTTATCTACTTCAGTAACGATGTTGGGCATTCCCTGGAAGCTCCCAGGTTTTATGATTACCCATGTAATTTCTTGGCTTGGCTGGTGACGCCTGAGTCATCCCAGGAAACATCCCAGGTGTTTATTCCCAAATGGTGAGATTTAGTCCTCAAGTTTCGAGCTGTTTCTTTGGGAAAGCTTCCAGTTTTGTGATTCTCATTATAAAACTAGAATCTTGAACTGCTTCAGGAAGCCCCCAGGGCTGAGAGGGAAGTGCCCAAGACTGCCAGACCGACAAGCAAAAGTGGAGGCCGGGCAGGGCGCCTGGGTGGCTCAGTTGTTAAACATCTGCCTTCGGCTCAGGTCATGATCTCAGGGTCCTGGGATCGAGCCCCGCATCAGGCTCCCTGCTGGGTGGGAAGCCTGCTTCTCCTTCTCCCACTCCCCCTGCTTGTGTTCCCTCTCTCTCTGTCATATAAATAAATAAAATCTCTTTAAAAAAAAAAAGTGGGGGCTGGGGGCAGGAGCAGTGGGTTCCTCTTGAGCTGGAGACTAAATGCTAACTCCTCAGCAAAAATTAAAGAAGCCCAGTTAGAGAGCAAGCATTATCTCCAGAGCCAGGCAATACCAATAGTTGCATTCTGCTGCCCTGAGAACATCCTTCCATTTCAGACTCAAGGTCTGGGGGCTGTCTCTGTCATTGGAGTTGACTTGAATAAAATAAAAGTTGTGCTTCTGTGTTATAAGTCATATGGCTCATGTCTCTTCTGGCCAAGCTCTTCTCAGGATGTAACACTCACCTGCTCTTTCCCTTCCCTTCTCTTCTCTCCCCTTCCCTCATACTCTTTGGTCTCAATAGGACATTGAGTGATTCTCGATTGGGGAGTTCAGAGCATTCTTACAATCAGAATCTAAGATTTAGATGGGGTCTTAGAGGCTCTCTAGTTCAACCTTCAACCTCTCCCCTGATTCAGAAATCTTCAAGGGTCTGGCTTCTGACAGACACTTTGGATAGGGACAACAACACTATGGCACCAAGCAACTCCTTCTCTTTGGATGGCTCTGTGATTGCAGAATCCATTTTCATACTGACCTTCTGACACTGAAATCTGTCTCTCTGAAATTTACTCACGGTGACTCTTATTTTGCCTTCTGAGGCAACCTAGACTATTGCTCCCCCTTTCTCTATAGCAGCCCTTCAGCTGTTTGAAGAAAACCACTGTGAGATGGGGCGATGTTCCAACCAAAGCATACGGTTTGGATCTGGGCTGGGTCCCGGATCTGCCACTCCTGGTTGTGTGTAATTTCAAGAAAGTCCCATCACCCCATCTGTAAACAGTAACTACCCCTCACCATATACGGTGGTGTGTTGGAACCAGCTGCCTCTCACCTCTGCCTTCAGGGATCTTCTGTTGGCCACTTGAAATGAGCCGTGGTGGGAGTATTTACACCAAGGAAAGCAAGCGACAGATGCCATAAACTTTACTGATGTATGTTTTGTTTTACCAGCATACCTCTTTCCATAATCTCAACGTAGTTGTAATGACCAAATAAGATAGGGCAAGAAAACGTCCTTTGTAAACCATAAAGATGATAGAAAAACTAGATATTAGTTATTTTGAAAGACTGCTACAAAATAGCCCCCAGTAAATCACACTCCTGAATTCACACTTTTGTGTCATTATATCAGGACGGGTCTTATGACTTGCCGGGTCCAATAGAATGTGACAAAAATTCTAGTCTCGAGCATCAGGAGCCTTGTAGCATCCACTGTCATGGTCTTACTGTTCTGAGAAGCCCTGAAGCCTGGGCTAGCCTCCTTGAGGATGACAGCCATGTGGAGAAGCAGGTTGAAAGGGCCCAACGAGCAGAGAGGTGGAGCCAGTCTGCAGTCATCCCAGCCACGGTGACAGTCACGCCAGGGAAACAATCATGGCTCCTCCAGCCCCAGGCAACCTGCCAGCTGGCGGCAAACATGTCACTGAGCCCAACCCACACCATCGCACCACATGGGGCAGAGAAAATCTCTCCAGCCCAGACTGCAGAATCCTGAGCAAATGAATGGTTATTGTTGGGGTTAAGCCACTTAGTTTTAGGTGTGGCTTGTATACAGTGATAGATGGCTTATTATAGTTATTATCATTTCAGGCTCCTCCATATCTTCTCTGTCCAAGCTAAACTTTCCCAGATCCTGGATGGCATCCTGATCTTTCTCTGGCTGGGCTCCATTTGTCAGTCCTAGGAGGGGCACAACGCTCACCCCCAGCGCTCGGACCATGGAGACGCTGAGGGACATCTCTCTGGGTTCTGGATCCTAGATAATCATCATAGAGGGTAAGCCAGAGCTTTTGGCACTCACAGCTCTCTCTATGAGTTCATTCGAAGCCTTTGCAGTCAACTCCAACCCTCAGGCTGTGAAACTAAGCTCTCCCATGCTGACATCTTTAAAAAAAAAAAATCTAAGTACAAGAGTTTATAATCCTTACCATTGAACTTATTTTTTCACTTTCAACTTATTTCAGCCTTTCAAACTCTGGACTCCAATTTGATTTTAAATTTGCGAAGACTACAGCATTTCCTTATATACAAATATCCATCCCTACACCCAAACCACGTATATCTAGACTCAGGCTCATCCAAACACACACAAACACACATGAGCATAGCAAAAGGCAGAAACTCATTTCAGTCTGTATAGCGGCTATGGAGCCTTCCTAACAGTCATGGCCCTTGATGGTCAGCCTTCTGCCCTCCTTCCCAGTCTCATCTCACTGTCACTCCCTGTTTCAACAGCAGAAACCATAGCTCTAACTGAGTTAGCCAAGTAGGGTTTATTTTTTTCAGACAACAAGAAGCTCAGAAGTAGGGAGTCCATGACCAGAGAAGAGGTTCCATGATGCCATTGGAGATCAGGCTTTCTTCTATGTTTCTATTCATCCAGTCTTGTGGTTTCAAAATGGCTGCTCCACCCCTAAGTGTTGCATATGGCGTCCAGGCAGGGATGGGAGAGGAAGGGAGTGGAGAAAAATGCAAAAGACAGTGCCAGGGAGTTGCTCCCTTTGATCAAGAAAACAACAGCTCTCCTGGAGACCCCACCCAGGAGACATCTAGTTACATTCATTGGCCAGAACTGGGTCACGTGGTCACTCCAGCTGTTAGGAAATCTGGGAAGGTGATTATTTGCAACTGGGCACATGGCCACCCCGAAAAAAAGAACTGAGGTTCTGTAAATAAGAAAGAAGGGGAGAATGAATAATGAGAGGGTTTATATAATAGCAGGGTTTGTCACATTCACCCACATATAATACAAGTTGTCATCTTCGTATACCAGCTTATATGCCAAGATGATTGAAAGCTTACTGAAAGATTGCAGAAGATGAGATGTGGTAGCTTGCAAAAAAATAACCAAAAATGCCTCCCATTCCTGTCCAAGCAACTGTTTTCAATGTGACTTTGGCATTCCTCCCATCAAGAGTCTATTTCTCCACACCTTGACTTTGAATCTGAGCTGCTCTTGTGACTTGCTTTGACCAGTAGGATGTGGCAAAAGTGATATTATGGGACTTCCTACCTCATCCCTCTAGAAAACTTTCAGCTTCTAATCCTGTCCTCTTAGAATTCAGTGCTACATATAGTCTCAGAGTAGCTCTCCTAGGACAGAAGCCCAGCAGGGAGCCAGCACCGACTGCCAGATGTGTGAGTGAGCCACCTTAGCCTGTCCAGCCCCCTTCACGCCTCCAGATGATGCAGCTGCAGAAGGCACCCCCGGAGACCCCCAGCTGAGCTCAGCCCAAATGACTGGCCCACAGACTCAGGAACAAATAAAATCGTTGTTTTAAGACACTGAGTTTGGGGGTGGACAACGAAAGAGGTCATTCATTTGGGGAGTGTAAGTAGAGTGGATATTTGTGGTGTTCTTGGGTTCTTGGATTGACCCAGACCTGGTTTTCAAACTTTGTTCCTAGGAGCCCTGCATGGAGGCCAAAGTAACTGCTCCCCAAGCCTTCATTTTATCCAGGACAGCTTGCCTTTATCTATTCTGCAGATTTTGATTGTGGGCAAGATTTTATTTCTTAAAAAAGATAGAATAACCACTCAACTGGATCCTCTCTAAGCTTCCTTTAACTCCAAAATGTGGTGATCACAGTTTTACTTATTTCAAAGTCGCGTCCCCCATCCCCTTTCTGTTCATTTCCCTTCTTGTATCGTCTTACTTATTGCCACCACATTTCATCGGGAGAGCTCTTGGTGTTCCTTCAGTCCCCTGTACCAAGTGCCCCTCGGCCCCCTCCCCACAACCTCAGTCCATATCCAGCACACGACTCTCTCACTGCCTTTTGCGAGACTCCTTAACAGGGGGTGGGTCTTGTGTTTGATCCGGAGAAACCGAGGCTAAATTAGGAGAGGTGCCAGAGTCTGCCTAAATCTCAGAGGGACACGCTAGATACACTTGCAAGTGAGAGCAGAGAGTTCTGAATGACACTTACCCATGAGAGCCAGGGTGAAAATTAGCCCTTTAATGGCTGCCATTTTCTAGAAACTTCCATGTGCCATGAGCTATGACTGCTTATCTCACCAAATTCTAAGAACCTGGATAGGTCTTATCTCCCATCTTACAGATGAAAAAAGAGATTCAGGGGCGCCTGGGTGGCTCAGTCGTTAAGCGTCTGCCTTCAGCTCAGGTCATGATCCCAGGGTCCTGGGATCGAACCCCGCATTGGGCTCCCTGCTCGGCGGGGAGCCTGCGTCTCCCTATGCCTCCCCACCCCCACCAACTTGTGCTCTCTCTTTCTCTCCCTCTCTCAGATAAATAAATAAAATCTTAAAAAAAAAAAAGAAAAAGAAAAAACTGAGATTCAGAAAGGTTAGGTAACTTGTGTGGGATCTCTCAATTAAAAAGTAGAATTATAAGAGGCTCAGAGCATGTGAACAGTGATTATGAAAGTTTTCTTTTAAGCCTTTTTTGTGTTGTTGACATTGAGCTATTTCTGTTTGTCTTTTATTGTTTGGTTGATTAAATCTTTTCTTCTCTCTCTCTCTTTTTTTTTTTTTTTAAAGAAGAGACCATGGGCCAGAATATCCTTCCCAGAGGCTATTTTATGTCTAGACATATTAAGGGGGCAGGAAGATAGGCAGAGACTGTAGCCATAGCTGACCTGGGATGCTCCTGAGATAGTCATACCTTATCACTATCTGCCTGGGCTTCTTTCCCTGGGGTTCTGCTCCTTCCCCAGTAAATGTGGACCAGTGGGGATGTCAGTCACAGTACCCATCCCCTGCACCCACCAGATATGAGCCCCCCTGGGTCTCCCATTCACTCCGACAGCCAGTAATTGTCCCTGTCCTCTGTGTTGTCTGTGAGGTCATGCCCTGTTTTGGTCCAGGGTTTGCTCCCTGAGAGTTAGGCCATGCAAACCTGCACAACCACAGCTTGGGGGTGCAACCAACACATGGGGGTATAAATGGAGCCAGACTGCCAAGGTTCAAATTCCAGTTCTGCCAAGTAATAGCTCTGTGGCCTTGGGAAGGCCACTTCTCTGTGTCTCGGATTCTTCATTTGTAATGGAGATAGTTAATTGGACTAACTCATAGGCTTTTTTTTAAAAAAGAAAAGGGATGAAATAAGTTAACATTTGTAACCTACTGAGAACAGTGACAAGCTACTTACATATTGGATTTAAAAAGAAACCATCTGCCGCTCTAAGGCATTATGACCCCAGTGAGGCTGGTATCCTTTCCTGGGATTGATTTTCAGAAGTGGAGAAAGGAAGCTCTTTTTTCTATGGGGATTTCTAAATCGGGGCTTCTAATGGCCATGAGCCTCACCACGTGACCACGGTGTCTCTGCTGAAAGAGAATGAGGGCAACATGCAAAGACCAGCCGAGACCGGCAGATGGGAGAGCAGGAGAGAGCATCCTGGCAGGGTTGCATGACCTTTCCTGTGAATCTCATGCCCCTTCCCTCACCTCTGCAGCTGCCCAGGTACTCTTCCAGCCGCACGAGCTGGCCACCTCCTCTCTTCTTTTTTGTTTATTTGGGTTTATTTTCTGTCCCTTGCAATAGGAACAGTCTTGGCTCTTCTAGGTGCCTGGGATCAGGGCTTGCAAATTCAAATGCCAATAGGAACCCGTGGGTCAAATGCAGAAAAATCACTTTTGATGGCTAAGCGTATATTGAGAAATCTGTTCTACTGTAAGAAAAACAGCAGTGCAAGTGCAAGGTCAATGGCACCTGGCCCCATGTGAGGGCTGTCACGGGGAGTTGGGGGGTGTGGAGAACCGTCGGACCCACACTCTGTCTAAATAGCGCAGTTCGTTTTGCCATGAGAGCCCAGGCGAGCAGTATCTTCTGGTTATTTTGTCCTCCAAAAGAAGCCATAAATCTATAACTCTTCCAATCTGTAAATTCTGGATTGGATCGAATTTCTGATGATATTGTGCGACCTATCTGCAGATGAATGTGTCCCCAGGGTTCCAGTTTTCACCCTAGCAGCTCCGGTGGCCGAGTTTCCCTCCGGGGTGGACGACCCAGGGAGTCTAAATAGAACCAGAGTCCTGGGACTCTGACCGAGGTCCTTCGGGATTCCCTTGCTCCAACGCTTATCAAAGCTGGCCTCTGTGCAAAGGGATTCCCCACTATCTGTTGGACCAGTCCCCTCCTCACCAGTGTCCCCAAGCTTCTTTCTTTGGCTTCTTCCCTGCAGGCTGTATTTGTGTCTGTGTTTGAGGGGGAGAGGGGCGGAGTGCTGGCAGAGGAAGTCTGCACCCCCAACCCAGCGCATAGCACTTGGATGTGCCTGGGGTTCCCGGGCCTACAGCCGGAACGTTAATGGCCACCCAGGCAAATAACAGAGTGGGAAGCTTTTGGGGGAGTCTTTGAGGGCAGAGCTGTGGTGGCAGCTGTCCCAATCTATGCTTCTGTCTAGCTAAATCCCCAGCCCCGTTCTAGGGAAGCCTCGGTGCCTAGAGAGGAAGGGGACCCAGCTACCTTCCCGTGGGAGCAGCAAGTAGGGATCTGGGGCTCTCCTTGGAAGGCTCTTTTCCCGTTCTCTTCTTCTAGGAAATAGGAGGAGACGCCTCTTGTACGCTCTAGTTCTTGTTGGTGCACACGGAAACAGCCGAGAGAAAGGTCTCTGAGAAATACTCCAGGAGTTTTAGAGATAAGGGTTGTTTCTTTGTGAAAATGAGAAGAGATCCTCAGATCCGTTTCTGAATAAAATGAGATGAGAGATGAAGCAGAGGGGATCAGCAGGAAATGCCCCTTTCTCAATTTGGGGAACAGGAAGATGGAGTCCAGAGGGGCTCTCTTGGGGACAGCCTGCAGGGTCTTCCCTTGAGGACCCGGTACGGCTCTGTCCCAGGCACACACATTTGGACTCGATTCACCCGAGACAGGCCAAATATCCTCAGACGGTCTTTTACCAAGGTAAAGAGTTTCTGGGGTTCTAAAGGAAATTTGCAAATGCCAAGCCCGGAAGAGGGAGCTTAAGGCTTTGTCCGGAAGCCTCTAAGGTTTTGCCCTAATTTAAAATTAGTGGGTATAGTAGCACCTTGGCGGCAGGGCTGCTTCCCTGCTCCCTTTTCCCATCTCGATCTCAGTCCCTCACAGATAGCCTGACGCCAGTGGGTGCTCAGCGCCACTGAACCCAAGTGGAATAAGACACACAGGAAACGAATGTATCCATCATCTGTTCATTCAACAAGTGCTTCAGTGCCCAGGCACCGTGCTATCGAGTGGTTTTCTTGCAGAGGGCACTCCTGGAGTGATGCCACTCAGCACAGCACTGGATCTGTGGTCCTGTTTAACTGGGACAGGACTGCCGAATGTTGGCAAACCAGAAAATTGAAGACAAGCCCAAGGGATAAAACCTCTTGTTGCTGCTGAGAACACAGCTTCACATGGGATGCAGGCACAAGTCAGGAAAGTTAAACCCATCTCCTGCCGTGATTTTAGGGTGTTTGATGAGCCAGCCAACAATCTAGAATCTCAATTCCTTGACATTGGTTAACTCCAGCAATATTCCTCTGCTCTTTATCACAGTCATCCTTCCCCAGGGTCTCAGCCTGCTTTCTCCTTGAACTTCACCATCTTTTCCCCTAAGCACTGCCTTCTGCTCTCCCAGCTTTTTTCTGCTTTTTGAGACTATACCAATCCCCATTCCTGGTCCTTTTGTTTCTCCCCCATAACTCCACCCAATATGAGTGCGAGGACAGCTGGATCATTGGGACTGTGCTCTCCAGCACGCTCAGCTCTATGCACTCCATCTCATACCCCTACACATACCAGGGAAACCTCACTCACAGATCCCTGTGAAATTGCCAGTTTCAGCTGAGTCCTCAGATCCTCTAAGATGACTAGCGACTCGTGGAAGGAGGGACCTGGATGGGGATGAAAAGATGAGAGGTGAAGTGGTGGGAATGGGTGAGCTCAGCCACGCATGTAGGGGGGCGGGGAGGGTGACCAGCAATGCCAGGGGCTACAGAAGGGTCAGATAGAGTGACCACTGAGGAAAGGCTGTTGGATTAACCGTCAGGTCACTGATGACCTTTGGGGAGCTGAGAGCAGTGGAGAGCAGCTGGGAGATGAAGCAGTAGACACAAGAAGAGGCTCCTTTAAGGGAATTGGGCTGGAAAGGGAGGGCAGCACTTAACACCCTGAACGCAAGTGCAGTTGAGAGTATTAGAGACAGACGTACCTGGACTGTGTGAGCTTGGGAATGTCACTGAACAACTCGAAGTCTCCCATTTCCTCATCTCTAAATGGAGAAGACATCACCTGCTTCGTTGGATTGGTGTGAGGATTGGTCAGGGCACATAAATCTCTAGGCACCTGCTGCATAATAAGTACCCAAATCATTATCTTCCTCATAGTTGCAGGTTTGTGGGAAGAAGCCAGTAGAGAAGGGAAAATGAAAGATTCTGGAAGGGTGGTGATTGGTGGGGTGTGTCCTAGAGATGGGAGATAGGAGAGGGTGAAAGGAACCTCCTAAGGGAGGAGGGACCATTCTTCTGAGGCAAGAGGAAATGAAAGGATGGAGGAAGATGCAAATCAAACATTGAGGTGTAAGGGGCTGGATGCTGCGGAGGTCCGTGTCAGAAGGTGTCTACCATGATCTGAGAATGACGTAGCCCTATTCAACCTTCAGTTCTCCAGGCTCCCTCTGCCATCTGACCGATTAACTGTTTGAAGAAAGTTGTTATGTCCATAAATTGTTTTTATAGACTGAACGTCACTGGTTTTTCATGTGTTGTGGTCTCCACATTCATACCATCCTCCTAAGGGATCCTGCCAGGATGTTAAAGTGTTAAAGTGTGGACCCAGAGCTAAGCCTAAGCATTTCAGATATGGCCCGCCCTGTGACAAGCCCAGGGGGCTCCCACCTCCCTCTCTAGACACTTGTGACTCTGCCAACACAGGCAAAGGTTGTTTGGGTTTCCAGCTGCTAATTCAGCTCTTGGTTCACACAGAGCTTGCAGTCAACGGAAATCTCTACGTCAGTTTCTCATACAAGACCATCAGGACGGGATTCCTTCGTCTTCCTTTTCTAAGTCTTTTTTCTTTCCTTTTAATCACAAAGTACAAAACTCTCCTTTTATTCCTTTAAGTTTTATCTTCATTTTGACCCACCCTTCTAGTCTTTCGGAGTCAGTTCCGCTGGCTCAGAGGAGGAAGTTACATTTCAGACCTGTCAGGTGACTTAGCCCCAGCTTCACAAAGAGTCTTTGTTGGTCACAGCCAGGCACCTCTGACTACCCTGGGGATAGCCCAGGACTGTGCAGAGAGGATCCTGGGTTTGAATGTCTGTGAGGATGTGCAGGAAGATGGGTGCTCCCCTGGGCCAAGGATGTATAAGACTTCTTTGGAGAAGTGGGCCCCACCCTGAGAACTCGAGACACAACTTTCAGAAAAGGTTCTGAGCAACATCTACTTTCAAGTCCAAAACCACTCTGGGGAAATGAAACTAATTGTACAGAAGGTTGATGCAAATACAGACCCTTCCTGATAGCAAATGTGGGTAGCTATTGGTGCTCAGTATACATTGAATGAATATAGAATGAATAAATGAGTCACCGAATGAATGTAACATAAAGGTGGATGATTTTGAAGCCCCCATTGATCTAGGCCATTGCAAACTTGGTGCAGTGGGGAGGAGAGTGGCCCCTGAGGTAGGGATAGTGGTGCCCAAGGCACAGGGTGTCCAGAGGATATGGGTGTCCAGAGATCAAACAGCCGCCCTCAAATCTTTGATCTTCTCCCAGGTCTTCTGCCATCTTGTTTTACTCTCCCTTGGGTATTTAATCCTTCCCTCTGTCCCCTCCTCCATCATTTTTCCTGGGAGGAGCTCGTGTAAAGATGAATTCGAAACAAAACAGCCAGTTTGAAAAGACAGCTCTTTCACAGCCTCCCATTCCCAAGAAAGATTAAATGTAAAACGAGTTCTCAGGAAGCTCCACGTGATTCAGATATCATTGCTTCCATCAGCTCAGAGTGCAAGGGAGAGGGGGAGCTGGGAGGAAACAAATGCGGTTGCTCTCACCTTGGAGAGGGGTAAACTGAGGCAGAGGCTCGGCTAGGACGTGGGAGGTGACGGGAACAAAAAGAAGGCTGCCAGCATTCTGCCTGCGATTCCCCAAGCCCCAGCCCAACTGAACCACACTGACTCTTTACCATCTTCCAGGAGCAGACGTGGAGATTTGGAAACCAGCCTCTTCAAAGACACAAGGACAAGTGCAGGAAACAGGACCCCCCAGCTTCGCTGGATTATGTTTTGCTTTGTTTTGATAATTGATGTGAAATAAACAGCCTTCTGAAACAATGTGTGTTAGAATTGTAAACTCCTTGGGGGCCAAGGATGGTGTCTTTTTCACCTCTGTGACCCTCCACGGCACTTAGAACAATCTCTTATACCTAGTAGATGTGTAATAAATATCTCATAAAATAATAATGATAATAAGTGCTTTTCTCACCCAGAATACTCAGGCCCATATTCCACTAATAGTTACTGAGCTCCTACCACGTGCCAACCAGCATTCTAAGAGCTTTGCTAGTGTTAAGCAGTGAGCTGGGGTCCTTCCCTAAAGACAGTTTGTCCCAGGGTTGTGGATGACCTGCCAATGTGGCTCTAGTTCTCAGGAGCTGCAAAAAAGCTCCGGGATGAAACAACCTTGTACGGAATCCCACAGTTCACTTATTCATAAACGGGCCCTTCACATCAAATGGTAGTGAAATATATCAAGAAACACGCCCCACTTTTATTTTTTCCCTAAGAAAGCTGCTACTGTCTAATCTCAGCTGAGACGGGGTCAGGTAGGAACAGGGCTCCTTTGCCTGCTCTCTGGCTTCCTGTGGCTCTAGTGTCATTGCTAGTCCAGGCGTCCGTGAGGAATTGAGATGGGACTGGAGGCCTTACTCCCTGTGGGCAGTGACCCCTGAATGTCAAAGACAGATAATGATGGGGAAGGTTTCCCCAGGTGGTCCCAGGTCATTCTCTTAGCTTTTATAACAGGAGGGTGTCTGTACCGATGTGTCTGGAGTAAATTATAAATTATTCTTTTCCCGTGGCCCTCATCAGCACCACCAGCCGTGGGGTTGTTTCTGTGAGGGGTTTCACGGTGGCGTGTCATGGGGTGACCCATACGGTAGAGACTCCTAGCGTTCCCCAATCTCCATTTTACCATTCTTTTTTAGGAGCAGACCCCTCCAATATGGCACTAGCATACAGAGCAAAGGGCACCTTTCCAACCTCCCTTGCTGGTTGCCTCTCCACGCCTGCCCGATGATGGAAGTGAAAGTGGTATGGGGGATGGGAGGGGAAGCTGGAGTGGGGGGAGGGAGTAGTGGAATGCCGATGCCCCTGCTGGGGACAGTGAGGAGGCAAGATAGGGAGATACTGGGTCCGGACAACTTCATGAAGCCTATGTCCAGATTTCATTCACATGAGAAAGAAACATATTTCTATCTTGTTCAAACCATTTAGGGGTGGACGGTGGGGTTGTCAAAAGCCGAATCTCATTCTCTGGCCCCTGGCTGGATAGGGCATGGGGCTGCTTGTCCCACCGATGGTTTGAAGGCTTCTGTAAGTGGAACGCTTACTCCAAGAATTGTTTTCCAAGTCGTGGGTGGGGGATCCAGGTCACAGGGCTGATGCAGATCTGCTTGGGGTGGGCGTGGGGGTTCAGAATAGTCTCCGGAGGGATTCTCAAGGAAAGGGTCCTTGGGGAGAAAACCTCACTACGGTCTACAAATTCTGCAGGACCAGAGCAAGTCTCTCAGCCTCCTTTCCAAGGGTGTGTTTCGAGAAGCACAGTAGAGACAGATTACAGGGTTATGAGGGAGAGAGGCGAATGATTTTAATAAGTAACAAGAAAACAGAAGGCAGTGTTTTCCAGACTCAAGCCTCTCCACCCAGCTTTCTCTGTTACTCTTTTCCTCCTGCCTCTCTTTTCTCTCCTTTACCTGGAGAAACACATCTTTGATGGCTAGAAATCAGTTTACACTTTGGCCAGCTAGCAGTCAAGTGTTTTTAAATTGAAAGCAATATAAATTCTGAATCAACAGACTTAAGGAAAAATGATTTATCAGTTCATAGAGCTGGGAAGTCCAGGGGCTTCACACGCAGTGGGGGTTCCGGGGCCGGAGCAGGATCATTGGGTTTATCTCTCGGCTCCTCCCACCCAAGCAGTGGCACAATGGCCACCAGGCGCCTTAGGACCACCTTGTTTGGGCTCAGCAAGCCCTGCAGAAAGCCAGAACCTCTTTCCCAATAGTCTCAGCAAAAATCCTGAAACTGACTCTTCTTTGATGGACTTAAGCCTGGGCCTGTCTCTGAATGCACCGCTGATGGGCAGGGGGATAGATGTGGCCCGGCCAGGACTAGGTCATGTGTCAGTCCTGAGCCTGGGGGAGGGGCGGGGAATGGAGGGGGTGCTCACCGGAACCTCCTGCACAGTGAACAGGGGAGGGCCAGCACTCGGAGAAAAATCAGGACAGTGCAGAGCAGCCAAAACAAAGCATTTAAATCTGTTACATCCAGGGGCACCTGGCTTTCATAAATCCTGCCCAGGAGGCGAAACTGGCTTACTGATTTCAGTGTTCTTCGTTAGAGAGACCAACACATGGGCGAGACCCAGGAAAGGAGACTAGAAGGGGGAGGGAAAGATGGAGCCTGTACGGGTAGGAATTCCTTGTTCTCCAAGCTAAAAGCAAGAAGGGTTAAGCAAGGGAGATGCTAAGGAAGTGGTCACTAGCTGTACTGTGGGACAGGGACTTTGGCACTAACTACGGAGAAGCATGTCTTCTGAAATCGTAATTGTTTATTTGGAATCACGGCCTAATCTCCCTGGACACAAGAGCTGGATGCAGAGAGCTAGGGGAGGGAATGAGGACCCTGCACTGTGTAGGCCCACGGGGAACCCCGGCTCCCTGAAGATCCAGCCCAGTAAGATGTGTGGGTGGATCTCACGGCACTCAGCGGGGTGAGAAGTATGCTGTCAGCCCCCTTGCCCCCTGAAAAAAGGACAGTAGGCCTCAGGGAAATGCCTAGATGACCCATCTCAAGGAAGGTACCAGGCCTCACAGCCAGGAGTGTCCCATCTGTGTCTGCAAGTTGCCCTAGCTCATATTTACAGATACGAGGACCAGAAAGGCAATCTCTGGCCCCTTCCCCACAATTATCCCCATAGATATGACTAGTGAGCTCCGTGGGCTCTTTGCACGCCCCCCATTCCCCATCACTGTCACCTTATGGAGCAGGTGTTCTTGCCTGCACTGCGGGGGAGGAAGCTGAGACGTGGACCTGCGGTGTCGGGGGCCTCTTCGTCCCTGGGACCACCCTTCCCCAAAGGAAAATGACCCAATCTGCCATCATGTCACCAGCACTGTGTTGGTCCTTGTGGGTGAGTGGGAAACGGCCAGGGCAGCATCACCCAGGCCTCTGCCAAGCTCTGCCATCCAGGAAGCAGTGCTGCTGCCTCGGCTGGCTGCCCAGGGCTGGGGCAAGCCTCGGGTGCCCATGCCCAGAAAGCGCCCCTCCTTTTCCCTTCCCCCTGCCATTTGGACATCCGTGGTTAGAAACTGGATTAGGAATTTTTTCTGCACTTTGGTGCTAAGAACTGAGGATCAGGACTCTGAGTTTATCGCACAGCCTCTTCTTACACCATTTCCTAAAATCCGTGAAGATTACAGTCCTTTCCCAGAAAAATCAGGACTGGGAACTTCTCCAGTCCAACCTGGAGCAGACATGATGCATTCTCATGGAATAAACCAAAAATAATCCTTCTTTTTAAAATTCAAGACCAGGAGTCTCTCACCATTTAAACTGTACAGACTAATAGGATCTGGGCCGCAGGGTTAAACATAACAAACAACATACAGTAACAAATGTTAAAATAGTATAATGAAAAAGCATCAGAAGCAGCACCAGAAATTTGCTGAGGCCTCCATTTAATTAATCCAAGTTGAACATATGGCTTTGGTTACATGTGGTTCCAGGCCAGAGGCATGAGAGCCAGCGTTCGTGGGAGAGCCAAGAGGATAAGCTGCCGATGTGATGTGGGCCATGGAGTAAGGGGGTGCCCCTCCCCACCCCATCCTCTCACTTCACTCCTGCACCAGCCCCAGTCCCTTAACCCTGTCCTTGCAAGACTGTGATCTTTTTCAAAGCGTGAATATTGTCTTATTCACTTTAGAATCAATGATGTGCATGTGGAGAGAATGAATGAATGCTCAAACATAAATGAATGGAAGGAGGCAGAAGGGAAGGCCAGCTCTTACCAAGTAAACTTGCTCTTTCCTAGAAAATTCTTGACGTCCCTGGGCAGAGTTGGCTGAACAAAAGGTAATAAAGACTCTCGTGCTATTATTTACATTATTAGAAAAGGTGAGAGGATGAATCAAGGTCTTTTGACTGGAAGGAGCAGAGACTGACTAGGTTCCCTCCAGCACTGTGGGGTTTATTTTAAGGCCACACACAGATAAGAAGGTAAGGGCCACTGACCAAAGGACAGGTCTAATGGCAACCCAGGACAAGCCACACGGTTCACTTCCTGGGAGGAACAGGAGCAACAGAACCTATATGGAGCCTGATAGAGCCCTAGAGGTAGGTCAGGAACCAAGAGGTCTTTCAAGATCAAACCCAGCTTTCAAACACAGACACTTCAGCTCCTGGCCAGCCAAGCAGGCCTTGGCCTTCATGTTCCACCACTGCTGTTCTTGCTGCTTATTGAAGCTGCTGCTTCAGGACCCCAAATGTCTGCCTTGTCTGGGTCCTTTACCACCAAGGGTTCCCTCGAGGGTTTCCCTGTCCAGTTTGCCGAGAGAGGACCTCATGAGTGTAGTTGGGCTGAGCCCCTACTGGCCGACCAATCAGCAAGTGGGCTGCTGCTTGGACCAGGGCCAGCAGCCCAGTGTGGTGAAGTCGCAGGCATGGCTCTGTGTGCGGGCAGAGGTTTTCTGTGGGGCTGAGAGCGGAGCAGGTGTCCTGTAGGCCAGAGCCCTCAGCCTCTGATCATAGACGTGTCGTGATTAAAATATGAGATGGGAGGGGAACAGATTACTTGGAGTTTGTACACTTTTGACAGTCCTAGTGTGTTTCTGACAACACAGAGATTTCTTGGACTCTGCAGAGTTAGTGAGCACATATCCCAGGTCCCCCTGATGTCATGTGTCTGCTCCACTTGGGTCAGAAAATCAGCAATGGGTGCTGAGTGTGTATTCCAGCTGATATTGGATTGGGCAGGACTATAGAGGAAGGGGAACATGAAGCCTTGACAAGAGATGATAAGTATGTGCCAATGATTTAATTACTCTATTAATGAGAGAATCTGCAGGGTAACAAAGCTGGTTTAAAATAGGATATGAGGGCCGCCTGGGTGGCTCAGTCGTTAGGCCTTTGCCTTTGGCTCAGGTTGTGATTCCAGGGTCCTGGGATGGAGCCCTACATCGGGCTCCCTGCTCGGCGGGAAGCCTGCTTCTCCCTCTCCCACTCCCCCTGCTTGTGTTCCTTCTCTCGCTGTGTCTCTCTCTGTCAATAAATAAATAAAATCTTTTAAAAATAAAAAAAATAGGATATGAGAACAAAGATGTTGTGCACTCAAAAGGAATGCTGAAGGCTGCAAAGTTTGATACAAAACTGGTTAATGTCCTACAGGGCAACAAAACCATAACCTTTGGGGTTATTTTTTTCTGCCAGATAGAAATCATTTGCATCTCTACTGAACAGAAAAGTCATTTACATTTTAACAGTTTCTACACAGTGTCATCTAATTTTACAGAGTTATGCATGCCTGGACTCCAATTAATAGTAAATATTAAGTCAAAGTTACCTTCCCCTAGAGAGCCAGAAGACCCCCCAGGTGAGCTTAAGATATTGCTTTAATATTGAAAGGCCTTTCTGCTCACCCTCCCTCCCCCTGCCGCCAAGTTTTAAAAGTTCTTAACAGAAAAAATCAACGACATTTTACTTCAATGGGTGTTTAAGAAGGGAAAATAATAGTGAATGTGGGCAGCCTAACGCCCGGGGAGTCAGGGCACCAGGGTTCTCTACCTGGCTTGGCCGCTCACCAGCAGCGTGACTTCAGATCCGATCTCACTGGACCTCAGTGTCCTCATCCATAAAATGGGGCTATTGGACTGCACACTTGGCACGACACTGGCCTGAAAGTCATTTTCAAAATAAAAAACTGCACCACCACCGCCCCCGCCCCCCCTTTACCATACTAATCCTGAGAGAGACAGGGGAAGGGGAAACAGCACAGAAGCAGGTCGCGCGCGAACCTTCCGGGCGGGGAGAGGGCCGTTTTGACGGCTCCGGAAAACCCCGCGCAGCCGCGGAGCCGTAGCCGCAGGCGGCTGCGGACAGAACCCGGCCGGCGTCCGCCGAGCGCGGGCCACGCGGCTGACCGGCGGCGGTCGCACCTCCGGGTCGGCAGGCGGAGGTCGATGGCCCGCGGGTCCCGCCCGGCCCCGAGTGGCGGCGGCTGCGGCTCTCCGCGCGGCCGGGCGCCGGCCTCTCCCCGCAGGGACGGCGTCCCCGCCCCCCGCGACCACCCGCCGCCTCGCGGGCGCCTGGCCAGAGTCTCGCTGGGCGACGCTGTCAGTGAGCCACCCCTGTTTGGGTAAACACACACTCTGCAGTTTCAGGCAACACTTGCCGGTTGCCATGGGCGTCTTCTGTTTTGACAGAAGCAGGGGCCCAGCGAATCCCCTGCTTTGGAGCTGCGGGCTGTGGATGTCGGTGTCTACGCTGCTTCACCCCAGAAGGATGGGGGGGTGGGGGGGGCTGTGCCCGCCGTTCTCACGGTCTTTCTCAGGTCCCCTGACCTTGGCTGAGCGCCAGGTGTTTTCACTCAGGCTTGAGCCAGGAGGCCTCCTTTTCCCGGCCAGGTGAGGTGAGAGGACTTTGGGGGTAGGCGAGCGCCTTTCCTCTTCGCCCCCCAAAGGCCACCTGAGCACATCCTTCTGTCGTCTCCAGGGTAGAGGGGACCACCTGGTAGCCTCTGCCTGCGCCAGCTCAGACCAGACTCACTGAGTCTGCACTGTGATGCAGGCATCACAACAAGAGGAAGCAAGGAATCTGGAGACGAAGAAAATAGCAAGGAGGTGTTTGGACCTGCAGAGAGGGTTTAAAGAAAATGCTTGTCCAACCCCTGCTCCTCAGTGGGGGAGGGGAGCGCTGTGGGGCTTTGGGGCAAGACGATTCTTGCAGTCCTACTGAGGACAGGCTGGGCCGCACTGCAGGGGGTATGGCATCCCTAGCTCCCCATGCACAAATGCCCATAGCACCTCCCCATCTTTGGGACAACCCAAATGCCACCACTTATATCCAAATACTCCTGAGATTGAGGTGCCTCTTTAGGTTGAAAACCACTGCTGGATCATTTCTTAAAATATATTACAAAAAACATGAATTCGTTCCTTGAGATGTAGCTGCTGCGATATGAAGAGTTTCATGGTCAACATCATGCTGGGTTGGGGAAATGGTAGGTTAAAAAGGGGGAAGAGAATTTCTTTATGACAGGACTTCTCAGAACCTTTAGTATAGAAATGTGTGTTTTGAATGATCAAAATTCCCCAATCTAACTGACAATGGAATTCTTTCTCTTTGGGACTCACATTGGGGGGCCCACCTTGGATAACTCTTGGCTATACTGTATCCCCCAGAGCACCCCGTGGTGACTTCTGTATCTTCCACCATGTGCAGCAGAGGGGTGAGCCCTCAGAAGGCCCTTATATTTTGACTGAACTGAACTCTGGCAAACCAGAAGGTGTGAAGCTACCAGGAAGGAGGCCAGAGGACCCGGAAACCACTGCAAAGATGACCTCACAAAGGAACCAGTGTGGTGGGGCTTCTGGGGCGCTCACGGGGATGCACCCTGCTTCTGAGAGGAAGCAGGCTGACAGGCGCCTTGGGCTTGCACGGTTCGGGGAAACTAAAATAGCCCCGGTGGTTGGAAGAGAAGTATGTGTGGATGAAATTATTCAAATGCTGACAGATGGATTCGAGGTCTCCTTCCTGCTGGCCTGGCAGCCGCTGTGTAGAAAACCTTGCCTGGGAGATGGATCCTGGCAGCTCTGGTGAGATGCTGGAAATGTAAGCCCAGGCAGATAGAATGGCAGGGAGGCACAGTAAAGCGATAGCCACCAGGTGCTCAGGAGGGAAGTTGGAAGCCAGAACGTTCGCGGAGCTGAGCTAGGAGCAGGACTGTTGTGCAAAACACAGAGCAGTGTGTTCAGGTCGGAAGGATCAGGTTTCTCAAAATGGAAGCATGACCTGTGCATACTGAGCTTCAGGCTTTGCTCCAAGGTCCGGGGGCGGGGGGGGGGGGCAGACAGGGGGACAAAAACCTGCTTATTCCCCTCCAGGAGGATGCCACCCAAACACACTCATTCCCCCCAGGGCAAGGGCAAGGGGCCAGGGCTGAGGGGATCTGCCACTTCCTGTGGGAAACTGGGTGAGCAGCCCAGTGACTATCAGGCTCCCAGCACCTCACCCACACTCTCCCTGGCTTGTAAATCAGGTTCTGCTTTCCAAGGGTGCTCTGTGCTAGTGAAACTTTTCTCTGAGCAGTTAGTTTTAAGCTGTTGGTTCTTAAAATTTTCCAGTTTCCCTGGCCTTCCCAGTGTCAAGATCACTTCTGCAAAGGAAGAAAAGGAAAGGAAGGCGGTCCCCACTTCCCCGGGGCTGGTGGGCTCTGTGGATCCTGCCTCAGCCTGCGGGATGACCCAAAGTGGCTTTTTTTTTTTTCCCCAGCCTGGCCAACTTTTTTGCTCACAGGTCACAGTCAAGCTTATTAAACTTGGATGACAGTAAACCAATGACTAACTGGATAATTGAAGCCACAAGTCAGGAGGCCTGGGTGGATCCCTCCTCTGGAATCTCCAGTGGCCTGTTCCATAGGCAAACACCGCTCGTTCTCCCCACAGCAGAAATGCTTCTGTGAATTAAAAACCCTCTGTGTGACCTCCACCTCTTCTTGAAATCACTTCTCCATTTATCCATTGCTTCATGCCCCCACCGCACCGTCCCTGTCCACCCCAAGGAAGGAGGAAATCTAACCACACTCCCCCACACTGCTGCGTGGACAGGAACATGACAAAAGATTTCCAACTAAAACCAAAGTTACTCAGCAGAGCTTCCTGCCTGGCTGACGTGCTGGAGGACATAAGGTACCTCCCTCCCTCAGCTCTTTCTCTTTGCAACTTCTCTGCTTCAGTCACTTGAGAGCCTCCCTACTTCTCTAGGAGGGTGGAGAACTTCAAAGCAGGCAAGCCCGCACCGAGAGGACTCTGGGTTGCTTCAAAGATGGTCTTCTCCAAGTCTGAAGTTCTTAGTGAATGCCTTGCCCCCGTTTCTGGAACATGAAGTGCTACTAAAGTTTCCAATGTCCCCCAAAGCCTTTCTGTGCTTCTCCCTCTAACCTAGGGCCCTTGGACCTCCACAGTGATACCTCCCCTGGACGGGGGCTTACAGCTCTGTAGTGTCTCTGCCCCCCCCCCCCGCCCCGCCCCCCAGCTCTGGCTGTCCCTGCTTCCTTCCACCCCTCCACCACTGTATCCTCCATCCCTGGTCCTGAGCCGTAGCAGCCCCCTATCCACTAGGAGACACGGGTGGACGAGGGGCTGCAAGTGGGGGCTGGGGCGGGCGATCTGATTTTTGCATGCTATTCCACAGTAGGGGTTTGTGGTTATTTTAATTAAAAACATATTAATGTTCCCTCCAAGTCTCTGAGGACCTTTGATTCCAAGAAAGTATATACCATGTGTAGCCCATGGCTCCATGCTGCTTGCCTTGTGTTGGCAGGCTGACTCTTACCCCTGCTTATAAGGACCCTAACAGAAGAAGAAGAGTGATTTGGATTTGGATTTGTTAGCAAGAATGTCTTTCACAAAACTATAAAACTTTTGAGGACAGGGACTTTCTGACATTGAATTTCATGGTCTTGCCTGGAAAATGGGAATTCTTAGGCAATTTGTGTTTGTTGTATTACTATCATTACCTGAAAGAAGAAATTAAAGTCACTCTCCGTTCTCAAGATGCTGTATGTGTTTAGGCTTGTTAAAAAGAAACAACAGAAAAGAAAAGAAAAGAAAAGAAAGAAACAACAGAGGGGCGCCTGGGTGACTCAGTCGGTTAAGCGACTGACTCTTGATTTCGGCTCAGGTCGTGATCTCAGGGTTGTGAGATCAAGCCCCATGTCGGGCTCCATGCTGACCAAGGAGTCTGCTTGAGATTCTCCCTCTCCCTCTGCTCCCCCCGCTCTGCCCGCTTGCTCTCTCTAAAATAGATAAGTAGGGGCACCTGTGTGGCTCAGTTGGTTAAGCGACTGCCTTCAGCTCAGGTTATGATCCTGGAGTCCCTGGATCAAGTCCCGCATCGAGCTCCCTGCTCGGCAGGGAGTCTGCTTCTCCCTCTGACCCTCCCTCCTCTCATGTGCTCTCTCTCTCTCTCATTCTCTCTCTCTCAAATAAATAAATAAAATCTTTAAAAAAATAAATAAAATAAAATAAAATAGATAAGTAAATCTTTTTTTTTTTAAAAAGGAAACCACAGACCCAAAATGGAGTCACTTATGTTAAGCCCAACCCAAAATTTAGCACCTAAGCTTATTGAAGTTTCAGCCTTTCCCAGGAATGGATTTTAAACCAATCAGTCTGCAGTTTCCAGATCAGCACTAGTGAGGGCGTCTGCCAAGACCCCTGCCCTTAGCCCTAAGGGAAAGTGACCTTGCCTAAATCAATCCTTTCTTTTCTTTCACTAATAATTCTTTGTCCCCCCCCTTTCCTGCCTATAAATACCTTCCATGTCCCTCAGAGCACCCTCCTATTGGTTAGGCGGGATGCTGCCTGACTCACGAATTGTGGAATAAAGCCAATTAGATCTTTAAATTTCCTTAGCTGAACTTTGGTTCTTTAACAGGCTACATGCATGTTGGCAAATTGCATACATATCATCTACATCTCGAATCACCAGGAACTGATGCTACCAAAACTCATGTCTCATCTGTTACATTATCATCTCTGTTTAGCAGACTAACACATAGCCCAAGCCAACCAGGAGACCTGCAGACTGATGAGGAAGGCATTGGAGACCAAGAAACCTGACAGAGTTCCAAACCACAATGCAAAGTAAAAAAGATGGGCGTCCTGTGAAGCGGGTCCCAAGCCTCAGTCCTGCCCTGGATGTCACCATCTGCCTCAGGCCTCCCTTGAAGGGCCTTGAAGATGCTCAGCCCGGAGCCTCTGCTGGGGCCGGGTTTCCTGGCCGGCCCGGCCTCAGGGCGGCCGAGGAAGTGCTGTGGAGAGCTGAGTGAGGCAGACGGGCCACAAGGTGCCGTTGAGCACAGTGCGCACACCCACGGGGGACTGCAGGTAGCTGGCTGAGGACAGAGGAAGCCGCAGTGTGGCCCACCCCCACTGCAGAAGTGGCTTTCTCATCTCCCTGATTCACCAAACGCACTACAACTAAAAAATACCGATTGTGCCTAACTCTGAAGGCTGGCCCTCACCTGTGTGTATGTCCTACCAGAGTTCTTTGTTTCCGGGGAGAAACAGAAGCTACAAACATCACATTCCTTTCTGGGTTGAATTACTGCTGTTTAAAAAGTCAAAGGGAAAAAAGGAAAGTCGATCCTTGTATTAACAGAGAAATTTTCAACGAGAACAGTGTGATTTCTGGCCAGTTGCTGATGGCCGGTTTTCCAGAAGAGAATGATGTGCTCATGAGGCAGTTATTAAGTGTGATGACAACCACCAATTTAGTGAAGCGTCAATGGCTTGTTTGTTTATTTTTAAATATTGAAACCCTCGGGGCGCCTGGGTGGCTCAGTTGGTTAAGCGGCTGCCTTCGGCTCGGGTCATGATCCTGGGGTCCCGGGATCGAGTCCCGCATCGGGCTCCCTGCTCAACGGGGAGCCTGCTTCTCCCTCTGCCTCTGCCTGCCGCTCCGCCTACTTGTACTCTCTCTGTCAAATAAATAAATAAAATCTTTAAAAAAAATATATATATATATATATTGAAAACCTCTGGGTTATACGTGGATCACTTACTTGAAATAATACCAAGTAGTGGCATTATGGTGACAGAGAATTCAACCACTTCCTGGCAAGTCAGGAGTATTACATTTTATGTTATTCTTCCTGAGTTTAGAAGTTACTCCGAAATCAACTCTAAGAAAACCTTCCCTGGTGTCCCTTGAGTTTGCTGATCCCAAGAAGGGGGCCATCGACAGGATCCCCTGGGATACATTCTGAGCAATGGGGTTAAGTCCCTGTTCCCCAGGCCATCTGGTGCCAACAAGCCAGGGCACCAGTCCCCGAGGCTGCATGTTGGTCATAATGAGCCGTCTGGCTGCCTGGTGGGAGGAGCCCATGGGAGCAGGTGTCTGGGACATTCTGACATTACCACTGACCTTTGCCAATGAACAGGTTTGGTTTTATCCAGAACGGCTCAGCCTGGTGGTGAGAATACATCCTCTTCACCCAGGACACTTTCAGGAACTAGGCGTAAAGGGTTCAACCTCCAAACTGAGTATTTTTTTGAGCCGTGGGCCTTGTGTTGCCCCAGGATTGTTCTGGGACCTTGTCCTGCCCCTTTCCCTCCCTGTGTAGAAGTGGGGGAATGTCTCTACCTATCTTGTCGCCCTTGCATGTGTCCTGACCAATCACAGGGCTTCTGGGTTTTTTTGTTTGTTTGTTTTTTTACATAAATGTGCCATTTAAGTAAAAAGAGAGTGCAATATACAATGTAGCTTCAGGAAAAGTCCTTTAGCTATTCTTTGCTTCCAAACAAAATGCCACCTCCAAGATGTTCCTATATAGAAATTCTAGGGCCATTGCTCAGCCTCTGTGACATGTTGTCACGAGTAAATTGTTTTTGATAGAGCATCAAAGTGCACAAGTGATTTACCTCTAAAAAAATAAGTTGATGGCTCAACTCAAGGTTGTCCGTGTCATAAAGTACTCCTCTGGTCCTTGGGTCTGCATGTTTTCTAGCATGGGAACAGAGACAGAGGTACAGCCTGTGTACTGTCCAGGGAGTAGGCTCTCTGTTATTGGGGCTTACTGGGAGCAAGGGCAGACAGGGGGAGGGCAGGTGGGGACTATAGATCCATGGCCCTGCAGTGGGGTGTTACACTGCAGCAGAGAAAGGGGATTTCTAGAACTTCAGAGAGCCAGGGACTTCTTTCCCTCCAACAGTGGAAATTGCCAAGGAGGAGGTGGGTGTAGCTCTGAAGACTTGAGAAGCTCCTTGGCGGGCTGGAGCTGGGGGGGGGGGGGTTCCTGCTCATCTGGGAGCAGAATGGTAGAGCACACCTAGATCAGTCCCTGAGGCCAGGCTCTCTCCTCAGAGTCTCAGTCTGTGGCTAGATGGTGTGATTTGCTTGGTCTGAGGACTTTTCTAAATGAAACGTTTCAGCATTTTACAGTTAGTAGAATTCAGGTAAAATGGAGATCTCTGACTTTCTTCAAGAATCAGAAGTGTCAGCAACACTAGACTGCTGTTGGTGCATGGCGGCAGTGTGCACGAGCAAGGGGTGGGCAGCCGCCCTGGACGAGGCACACCCTCCCCACCCCTCCCCCACCCCACCAGCACGCCCAGGCAGCCCCCCATCCTGTTTGGGTACCTTGGAGGCATGAGGGGCCCCAGCGAAGCTTCCGCCATGGACCCCCGCTCCCCTATTCTCTCTGCCACCCAGAGGGCGTCTAGACACACATTTCCTGGATCAAGTTCAAGCCTGAGAGCCATGATTTATTCCTGCCTCGGCCTCCCCTCACCCCCACCACACACACAAAAACCTCCTGCCCATTTACTAAATCCAAAGAATGTCAGGATTAACCCATAATTGAAACTTTTGAAAGAGCTAAAGGCAGCTTTAGCCTTAGCATTCCACAGCTCCTCATGAAAACAGGGACCTTTGTAGCTTTAGGACAGCTGGGGCCACATGACTGAAGGGTGCCAGCCTCAAGGAGGCAAGGCAGTCTTGTTGGGAGGCTTGATGTGTCTTTCAGTCTCAGGACAGGTGTATTCGGTGTTCGAGACTGTAGCCCAAAGGCCCCAGGCCCTCAGGAACAAGGCAAGGAATGGTCACAGTCGGGGTCAAAGCACTGCTGGCCCCTGGCAAGCCCGAGTTACAGGCTCCAACACCCAGCTGGCCCAGAAACAGGCAGAGACCTTGAGCCCCAGCACGCGCAGCCTCCCTCCCCCACGCACCTCCCCGGCTAGACGCTCTGCCATGTTGGCTGTTCCCAGGGATTTCACACTGACTTTCTCATGGGGTTTCATGGATAAGGGCTGCCATCTCTGGCCTAAACTGTGTGGAATTGTGTGGAACGTGCTCAAAGGGGCTTTGGAGTCAGACAACATTGGAGCTGGGGACACTTCAGATGGCATCTGTCCAGAGCTCCCAATGGGTGACTGCTCTTTAGAATCACCAAGAACACTTGCAAAAAACAGATTTCCAGGCTTCAGATCTGCCCCCACCGCCCCTCCCTGACACGACAGTGCACAGTCATGAGCTGTCAGGCTTGGGAAACACTGATGTCATCCAAACCCTTCACTTCCGTTTCTGATGTCAGATCTGAGGTAAAGTAACTTTTCCAAGGTCATGTAGCTGGTTTGGGAGGACTCAGGTCAGAGTACAGGTCTCTTGAGTATAATCCAGGGCTTTTTCTGATACATCACCTCCTAGATGTACCCACAAAGGGGCCACCACACTACCCCAGAGATTTTGGATGTGGAAGAGGGTAAGAAGCATAGCCTTTGTGCATGTAACCCCAGATAATTTCCCCAATATTGGCTTCCGTTGTGGTTGATAACCCAGATGCCTCAGTCTCAAGTTATTTGGGCTGGAGCTTCTGCTTCTAGCTCTATAATTACCACAGTTTCACTTGTCCTTTGAGAGGTGGGGGAAATAACTGTACATGTGTACGTGGACAGCTCTGTGCCTCAGTTTACCTCTATTTAAAATGGAGAGAATGACTGACCTGGCACCCTTATGTCTGCTTCTTTGGAGCTCTGCAGAACAGTTGAATGGCCACACAAAGGCATTTTGTGATCCCTACTAGGCAGAAAAAAAAGCTTTCTGTACCCACACAGAGCTATTCTTAAGGTCAAGGCTGCTCTTGCCACATTTTTAATAATTCTGAGGTCAAAATACCCCATTGTGGCTTCTCTGGCTACCCTCCATGCCCTCCATGCCCTCCAGGAAGGGCTGCCTGTCTTCTCTTGGTTTCTGGAGGGCTGGTGAAATACTTCCTGTGGGTAATCTTGGGAGGAGCCCCAATTTTGAAGGACTGCACAAGATAAAAAATTCAATACTATGACTAATAGCTAGCACGGAATTCTTATTAAGTGCTGGGCATTCTGTCAAACATTTCACACGCATTATCTCATTTAATCCTCAACTACATCCCTAGGAATGAACATGATGAGTATTCCCATTTCACAGGTGTGCAAAATGAGGTTCAGAAAAGTTAAAGAGCTTGCCCAAGATCACCTAGTTGCTGATTGAGGGAGCCGGGATTCAAACCCACATCCAACAGTCTCCAGGGGTGAAGCTCTGATAAAGGGGGCTTTATCACAGAGCACTGTCGTCATGAGGCTGACTCTTCACGTCCTGCTGCCTGGTAGTTCCCAGTGGGATGTTACAGCCTGCCGCAGCTCAGGCCAAGGACAGCCCGGGCGCTGCTGCCCCGGCTGTCTGCTGGGAAGCTCACGGCTCCTGTCAGATCGGGGACTGCCTGACCCAGCCTGACCAAATTAGAGCAGGTAATGGGTGTGACATAATTTGACATGTACATTGTTAATTGAACCCCATGGGAGATGATTTTAAATAGAGACAAATACCATACTGTGAACTATTTGGGTTATGAAGCCCTTATTCTCTGACTCTTGCAGGAAAAAAAAAAAAAAAAGAATTGTGTCACTATAAACTGAAAACACCCGAGCTGTTCCAGGGTCAGGACAGCAGCAAGCTAGATGGATCGGGAAAAATTCTTCCCGGGCGTTTCAGGGATTTATGCTTCCTTCCTAGCATTTTACCTCCCAAACACTCCCAAAGCCCACATTCGGAACCACTAAGTCTACCCATCCCTTCCCCCAGAGACTTTCTAGCCAGGGAGATCCAGAACCCTCATCGCAAAGCCAGTCCTTGTCAGTCTGCAAAACAGGCGTAGTGTGAAGTCCCCAGAGACACTCCCACCCCACTCTCCCTTTCTCAGGTTCACGAACCCCAACCTACCCAGGGGTCTTGCCGAGGGCCCTACACTGGTGCGCTCTTTCTGGGCATCACCCTATGCCCAATTGCTAGTCCCTTTCCCCTATCAGTAGAGAGACTTACCTGTCCTATTTCCCAGGACCTCATGCTTGCTTTCTGACTTTCCTAAAGAGCCTGGGTACCCACATCTGCTAGTGTTGCTGGTCCTAATGGCTTAATGTGTGCCTATCCTCTCAGGTACCACCTGCCGGCTAGCACCCAAGAAATACCTACTATTGAATCAATGAATGAAAGTAAGAAAAGTAAAGGTTATCGGGAAATCCTATGCCTTACCTCAAACCAATAAGCCTATTAACTGGCTTCCAGGCTAGTAGAAATGCATTGGAGAGCAAGAAACCTTTGCCTTTTTATTTATTTAAAAATTTTTTTTAAATATTTTATTTTATTTATTTGATAGAGAGAGATAGTGAGAGAGGGAACACAAGCAGGGGGAATGGGAGAGGGAGAAGCAGGCTTCCCGCAGAGCAGGGAGCCCAATGCCCGGCTCGATCCCAGGACCCTGGGATC